GGGTTTGAACTGCCAGCCTTCTGGTTAGCAGTCAAGTGCCTTAGGCATATACTAGTTTTTCTAATTTTCACATTACCTCTGAAGTAGGTACTATTAATCTCTCATTTTAAAGATGATGAAACTGAGATAAATTAATTTGAGGCAATTGTCCAAGGTCATATTGCTAGCAAGAGGTGGAGCAAAATAATTTTACTGCTTCATTTTTTAAAAGTCTACAGCAAGTTAGGATAAATTAATGTAGTCATAGTCAAAATAAGGTCTGGGATCACTCTGCAATGATTAAGATGCTCCAAATGAGAATATTACAACAAAGAAACATCTATCTCATTACTGAATACCTGCAACTTAATCAAATCTGTATTTTACTTGTGAATGTTCATCTCAAACATTCATTTGGGAGAAAAACATTTTAGAATAAAATAATAGAGGAAAAATGAGGGGATAGCTAGTCAGATTGATACTCTTTCAACACACTCACAAACCAGTTCTACAGGGTAGAATAATTACAGCATATTCAGCAGTTTGAAAGATTGAGTTATAACTGAACCAGTAGATAAATATCTACATGTTTATATGTAGATAAATTCCAAATTTTATAAATGTTACTAAGAATTTTCGGGAGCTCTGGTAGCATAGTGGCTAAGGCACTTGACTGCTAACCAGAAGGCTGGCGGTTCAAACCCACCAGCCACTCCTCGGAAGGAAGGTTGGGCAATCCTACTTCCGTAGTGATACTGCCTCGGAAACCCAAGGAGGGGTCGCTATGAGTCGGGGCCGACTCGACGGCATATAACAACAACAACAACAACTAAGAATTTTCAAAGGCACAATTGTATTTCCCTATGAAGAGCCTTGTGTACTGATTGATGTTCATTATCTATGACTGGGGAAGAGGTGGTCCTCTGATCATCTATAGGTCCTTTTCCATATGTGGTCCTGACCTTCTGATATCCATTCAGGATATCACCCACTGGTTTACAAAATGATTCAGTTGCTGTGCTTAATTTGATCATTCAAAGAAAGTTCTTTAGAAGTACAATAAAGTCCTACATTTCTTGTGACTCACTCTCCTATGGAAAGGAGCTCTGGTGGCACAGTGCCTAAGACACTTGACTGCTAACCAGAAGGTTGGCAATTCAAACTCATCAGCTGCTCCACAGAAGGAACAGGGGGCAATCTACTTCTGTAAAGATTTAGGGCCTTGGAAACCCAATGAGGGTTGCTATGAGTCGGAATTTATGAAATGGCAGTCAGTTTGGTTTTTTTTAATTCCCTATGGAGCTCTGGTGGTGCAGTGGCTAAGGCATTTGGCTACTAACCAAAAGGTGTGAGGTCTGAACCCACCAATAGCTCCACAAAAGGAAGATGAGGCAGTCTGCTTCATAAAGATTTACAGCCTTGTAAACCCTATGTGCAGTCTACTCTGTCCTATTGGTCACTATGAGTCAGAAGTGACTCGATGGCAGTGGATTTGGTTTGGCTTATCCTCTATGACTTCTAACTATCCAAGGTGGTCTGTTTGTGATACAGGCACACAGCTCTAGGTAAGCACAGGTAAAACAAAGCTGTGTTTCATAGGCTTATGTGGAAAGGGTAAGTTTCTGGAACTCCAGTAGAAAGGTACAGGCTCCATATGCTCTACAGTCTGCATATCATCCATGGCGCAGAAGCTGAGTAGCGACTATCTGATCTGAAAATTCCACATCATGTTCAATGAGTCCTACTTTTAACCCATTTAGATGAAAGAAGTAATGTCTTTAAAATGTCCTCCCCTACTTCCCTCCTTCCTGCTTGTCCCCTCTCCGCCTTGGTTACTCTTTAGTCTTTCAGCTTCCTCTTCTTTAAGTACTTTCCACTTTTCACTGTCCCTGGCACATGGAGTAAACATTGCTATTTCCAGCTCCTACATTCCATCCTTCTAATATTTGTTCAAAACATTATCACAGGCCTAGACTGTGGTGGAGGAGCTTAAGCATCAAAAGTAGTTTACAATCAGCTGTTAAGCTAAAGATTGGCAGTTCAAATCCACACAGAAGTGCTGCAAAAGAAAGGCCTGACAAACTGTTTCCATAAAATTACAGCTAAAGAAAGCTTGCTGGAGCATGGGGTTGTCATGAATTGGGGGCCAACTAGGGGGCAGCAGGATAACAATGACAATTTGTGGTAAGCAGTATACCTCTTAGCACTGATTATCACTGAACAAAAGAGGCAAAAATATGTGTGTGTATGTGTGTGTGTATATATATGTGTGTGTGTAAGCTCTGGTAGCATAGTGCCTAAGGCACTTGACTGCTAACTAGAAGGCTGGTGGTTCAAATCCACCAGCCACTCCTCAGAAGGAAGGCTGGGCAATCTACTTCTGTCATGATGCCACCTCAGAAACCCAAGGAGGGGTTGCTATGAGTCAAGTCCAAGGGCATATAACAACAACATATACATATACGTGTGTGTGTGTGTGTGTGTATGTTTAAGGTATTTGAATACTAACCAGGAGATTGGTGGTTCAAACCTACCAGCTGCTCCACAGAAGGAAGATGGGGCCATCTACAATCTACTTCTGTAAAGATTTACCACCTCAGAAACCCAATGAGGGTCGCTAGGAGTCAACTGATTCGATGGCATGAGTTTTGGTTTTTTGTTTGCTTGTTTATACACATATACACATACATATATACACAGATAAATTAAATGTTTATAAATAAATCTTGGAAAGAAAATAATTTTGAGAAAATTTCAGTAATAAAAGTGAAATAATATTCTTAATAAGTATAGATAATAACCTAAGTTATTATGTTAGAGCATAGAAACTTGGAGAATTTTGTTTGGTTTGTTTTTAATACAATTTTCATTAACTTTAAGGTAAAAAACAAAGTTGCATAGTTCACAACAGTGTCTCAGTTTAATTTTAGGGGTTTTTGTTATTTGTTTTTATTTTTTATTTTACTATATTTAAAAGTCTTTTGTATTTCCTTAGCATCAACATTCAACTCATATATTTTGACCACTAACTTTTATGGGCAATTGGTTTATTTTTCCATTGATTTACATGAGTTGAAAATATTTATTGTCTTCTGACTTTGCTTATAATGGTTCTTGCTTTACAAGTATTATCTCTGTTTATGATACAACTTTAACTATTCTTTAATAGTTTGAGGAATTTGTAACACAGGAAAAAAAAAAAGCTTTCTTCTCTAAGGTAGAAAAATAATTTCCATAGTTTCTTCTAGTTCTCTTTCAGTTCCATTTAAAAAAAAAAAAAAAAGTAAATCTTTGATATATTTTTAATTTACCTTAGGGTTTGAGATGAGGTAAAGATTCAGCATTTTTTTTATTGGTTATTTAGTTGTCCCAACATTAAAAAAAAAAAAAAAAAAAAACCACTGTTATTGAGTCAGTTACCACTCAATGACCCTGTAGGACAGACTAGAACTGCCCTATAGGGTGAAATCTTTATGGATACAGACTGCCACATTCTCCTGCGGAATGGCTGGTAGCCTTCAATCACTGACCTTTTTGTTAGCAGCCAAGCACTTAACCATTGCACCACCAGGGCTCTTTGTCCCCTCATCACATTAGCTATTGTATAACCATCTTTTTCCATTGACTTGAGATGTCATCTTTATCATATGCATTTTGATCTACTTTAGACTTTTGCCCCCACTCTGTTCCTTGGAGATTTTTCAATTCCTGTAATAGTACCACATTATTTATTTTAGCTTCATAATATTTTAATATTTGATAAGATTAGCCCTCCATTCATTACCCTAGTTTTTATAATTTACAGATTTAATTAGGGAAGCATGATATCTTTGTGAGGCTGAGTCTTCCTGTCCAAGAACATGGTGTACATTTCCATATTTAAGTCTTCGTCTCTGATTCTTAGGGGCATTTTCAAATTTCTTCATATAGATCTTGTACATATATAGTTACATTTGTTTCTAAATATTTTCTCTATTTGGTTGCAGCTATAGAGTCCTTTCTTCTATTAACCTTCTTACTGTTTTGTTTTTCAAATACATTACAAATATTGATTTTATTTGGGTTCCCAGGTAAGTCATGAGTTGTTTTTATATAACAGTAATTTTTCAGTGACTTTCTTAGTTTTTCTAAGTCTACAGTTTGATCATCTGCAACTCCTTTTGAATTCCTATTATTTTCAATGTATTTGTCTGGTCTAATTGTAGTAGCTAGAGCTCCAAAAACAATTATAATCAAAGTGCCGTAGTAGACAAATGTGTTTGGTTTCTGACTTTATTGGCAATATTTCTAGAAATACTCTATTAGGAATATTGCTGGATTTTTGGTTGCAATAGATAATATTCTATGTTAAAAAAGCATGGGTCTGTCCCTCTTTTACTATGAGCCAAAAATGAAGGTCGAATTTCAACACACCATTTAGCATACAAAAGATGATTGTATTTTTTTTCCTTTATTCTCTTTCAATCTTAGTAAGGTTTACTAGTAAATTTTCTAATACCAACTTGCAAGAGCTAAACTTCAGATATCTAGAATAACCCTCGTTTGATCAGTTGCACTTTTACATGCTGCTGGATTCTGTTTATGAAATATTTTCTTTAGGATTTTTGTATCACTCAACATAAATTAATTGATCTATAATTTCCTTCTTAGTGCATTCTTTGTCATATTTTGCTCTGAGAACTTTTGGAACTATGAGTATTTGATGAATACAGTATTATTGCAATATATATCTATAGTTTAATGCATCTACCAGTAAGTGTCTTGGTTTTTTAGCATCTCTTCCTCCAGTAGGAAAAAAAGATTCACTATGATTTCGTTAAATAAGGTACATATGAGAATGGATATCACACTTTTTACTACTCTCAAAATTTGAGGGGAAAACTCTTAAAATAATCCATTAGAGAGTAGAGCAACTGCAGAGATAATGCCAGTTACACTGTTTCCTGGACATAATTCTCATTAATTTTTCATCCCCAGAGCATTCATGTTTTGTTGGATGTGTGTATTATTATTTTTCAGTTATGGAGAAAACCAGTACAGATGTACTTCCTTTTACTATGAATTCTTCAGGAAAGCAAGAGACTGTATGTATTTTTGGAACTGGGGATTTTGGAAGATCGTTGAGTTTTAAAATGCTCCAATGTGGCTATTCCATTGTTTTCGGAAGTCGGAACCCCCGGATGTCTACTCTGCTTCCCAATGGTGCCGAGGTCTTGAGCTATTCAGAGGCAGCCCAGAAATCTGATATCATAATTGTAGCAACCCACAGGGAGCATTATGATTTTCTCACAGAATTAACTGAGGTTCTTAATGGGAAAATATTAGTTGATGTCAGCAACAACCTCAAAATCAATCAGTATTCAGAATCTAATGCCGAGTACCTTGCTCAGTTGGTGCCAGGAGCCCATGTCGTGAAAGCGTTTAACACCATCTCAGCCTGGGCTCTCCAGTCAGGAGCACTGGATGCAAGCCGACAGGTAAGATTCAATTACGAATTTACACTCAATCTTTAAAACACGAGTCTTTTAATGTACACTTATCTCAGATTCCAAAATATTTACTAAGCATTTCATTCTGCTAAAATGTACCATGAACAATTTTCTTGTAGTTGACCAGGTAAGGCAGTCAACTGCTGCAGAATGTACACTGTGTACACTCTCAGCTTTCTGTTAGATGGAACTCAATTGCAGCAGTCTAGGGAGGCCTCTTGTCAGTGCTAGAAACTCACACTGCTAATTCATTGGTAGCTGTTCTTTTCCACTTCTTTTACCTTGTATAAGACAGGCTCCACTTATTTGCTGAGTTTAGAAACAACACATAATTTAGTGGCACTCACAAACAGAGAAGAGAGGTCAAACTCTTCACACCTACAGTAACTCAAGTCTTATCATGTCAGGATGATGTGCCTAAAACCATCCTCAACATAAAAATCTGGTACTTAGGTAGGCAGCAGAGAGACAAAAGTTTAAAATGTCATCTGTTAATACTATACACTTATTTGACAAGCAGATCACTATTACATGCCATTGTTCTGCATAGTGCTTATAAAAAAAAAAAACTTTCAAAATACTTATTAAATAAATAATGAATACTGAATTAATTCTTTTTAATCCAGGTATTTGTCTGTGGAAATGACAACAAAGCTAAGCAAAGAGTGATGGATATTGTTCGTACTCTTGGGCTTACTCCATTGGATCAAGGATCTCTCATAGCAGCCAATGAAATTGAAAACTATCCCCTGCAACTATTTCCAATGTGGAGGTTCCCCCTCTATTTGTCTGCTGGGCTGTGTGCCTTCTTCTTTTTGTACTGTGTTATAAGAGAGGTAATCTACCCTTATGTTTATGGAAAGCAAGATGAAACATTTCGCCTGGCCATCTCCATTCCAAACCGTGTCTTTCCCATAGCAGCACTTACACTGCTTGCCTTGGTTTACCTCCCTGGTATTATTGCTGCCATTTTGCAGCTGTATCGAGGTACAAAATACCGCCGATTCCCAGATTGGCTTGACCAGTGGATGCTTTGCAGAAAGCAGCTTGGCTTAGTAGCACTGGGCTTTGCCTTCCTTCATGTCCTCTACACACTTGTGATTCCCATCCGCTATTATGTACGATGGAGACTGAGAAACAAAACCATTACCCAGGTAAGTCTCTGCTTATTTTTATTCTCCTTTTTCTTAAAACAAAGAGTAATCTTGCTATATCTTCCTACATATTCCATTTCACAATTCTAGAAAATAATTCTTCTAAGCATCTTTATTTCTTAAAGTAACTAGAATTAGAAACCTCATGTCTGTTTCTTTAATGAATCAAGTTAAGATCTCACATAACTATTGAGTTGAATTTAAATATAAAAGATTCCCCAGGTTTCCTCAGGTCCAGATCTGTATTCCCGGGACTTGCTAGGATACTGAAACTCTGATGGATATAGTTCTTTAGGAAACCTAGTGACACCTGGAGGCCACTTGAAGTCACTTGGATTATAGTCAATATATGTAAACCTACGTGTTTCTATTTTTACGCATGCTACTAGTCAAAACTAGTCATCTTATAAGTAAGGGGACTATTCACACATGTGCCACAGGATTGTAAACAATTTCACAGAAGGGTGCTTATGAATCCATCTTTTCCTTTGAAAATGCACATTAATGTTTGACTTGTGGGAAGCTGTCTTTGCTAACTAGAAATAAATTCTGAGAAAAATACCAACCAGTATCTCTACTCAGCCTAAAACTTCAGATAGAATTAGGTCAGGGACTCTTATAGGAGTCACAGAGAAAGTGCTGTAAGTTAGTGCTAGTTGAGAGATAACTGGTTTTGATCCACCCTTCTTCAGTCTTAAAGACTATTGGCCAGTAACTCATTGATGATGCTTCCATGAGATTCTCTACATTATTTTCCTAAGAAATACATGGAAAATTCTTCAGAGTCACACAGCAAGGGTGTGATGCTTTTCAACCTGTGATGCCACAAATTTGATGCTATGATATAATAAACACAAGAGAACTCAAACTTTATATGTGTGAAGAGTCAGCATATAATGCAAAAAACAGGATTGTGATATAACTATTTAAGAACATTTTGCTCAGTGTACAAAAAACCATATGGCAAAGAAAGTTTAAGTAAATATTTACTTTGTTTTAGGATTAATAAGACAAATTAAAACTTTCAGCACAACTTCTGGAGCCAAGTATCATAATAAAGTCCCAAAAGAACTAATTTATTTTTCTACCAAAAACATAATTTCTAAGTGTATTTTTCTCAATTATTTTTAAGTGAGTATTAAGAAATGCTCTATAATATGCCTTGAGCAAATAAACTATGCAGAACTATTTTCAATCTCCTTACAAGTGTGGGCAGCTTATTAAAAAAAAAATAAGTAATTTTTAAAATTGCTTTTAATTTTCTTAAGGTGATAACCAACAAAGATGACCAATTCAGTACGTCTTCAGCCTGGCTTAGTGATTCCTACGTGGCTCTGGGAATCCTCGGATTTTTTCTGTTTGTACTCTTGGGAATCACTTCCTTGCCATCGGTTAGCAACATGGTCAACTGGAGAGAATTCCGATTTGTCCAGGTAAGGTCTTCAAGATTTGATCTGCTTTATATTGCAAAATAACTTTACAAATACATTGAGTGCCCGGTTACAAACATCCAACTTATGGACAACTGTCACTTGCCTTTTCATGTTATATAAATTTGCCCTCACCTTAAAATGACTGAGTTAATCCCCACTCACAACATATTGTACATCACTATCACCTTCACTTGCTGCATGTGCAGTTTTTCAATCATGGAAAAGTCTTCAAGCCTTTTCTTGCATTGAGCTCAGGCTAAACAAGAACTAACTGTATGCACCTGTTCCAACTTACCTACAAATTGGGCTTAAAGACATACTTAGGAATGGATATCCTTCATAACCTGAAGACTGCCTATACTTTCATTTTTCTCCCATATCATGCCTAATTTTTCATTTTGCTCCATCACTTCCCTAGCAATCTCATGTTTACAAAGCAATTGAAACAACCTCAAATTAGGAAGTGCTTAACTCAGGTAGAAAAAGGGCAAGTCCTATATTGAAAGGCAGGTTCCATAATGGTGTGATTTCCTAGAAGGCATCCCTTCACAAGATTGCTTGCTGACTACTCCTAGAGCCACAGCTAAGACACTAGAGTAAAAAGCACAAAAAGCATTTGCTTTTTTATGTGGTTATATACTATCTGCAAGTGAGGAGAAACCCAAAGATAAAATTTCTATTTCTGAAAATTAACTTTACCATATGGATATGTTGCTATGGACAGGCATGTATTGAAATAAAATCTAAAACCTTTGAAACAAGATATAAGAGACTGTCATCCTGCCAGATTTAATGCTGGTCTGTAAGAGGAAAAATTATTTTCCACATATCACCAGACACTTTATTAAAAGTGATTAGTTACAATTCATACAGACCAGTGGTTTTTGAAGTGTGATCCCTGGACCGGCAGCATCAGCATCATCTGGGAACATGTTAGATGTTCAAATCCTTCAACCCCATGCCAGACCCACTCAATCAGAAACCTAGAGGTGAGGCTCCACAATCTGTTTTAACATACCTTCCCCATGATTCTGATGTATGCTCAATGCGAACTAGTATAACAGAAGAGACTAGTAGTAATTGAAATTAAGTTTGAATTTTATAGAACTAGTTAAATTGCAAGCCTTATAGTTTCTCCCAGGAGCCAAATGCAGTCAATATTTTCTGGTGTTTCCACCTTTATTCAAGGCATTAAGATAGAAACAAACATTGAGCTTTAGAAAGCAGGAAACAGGAAAGTTTGGTAATTGTTCTTTATTGCCATAGCAATTAGCTATCATCTGTTTTCAGTCAGTAACATATACTCCTGAGGTGCTACTTGAGGAGATAGTATGCCTTATTCATCTTTAACCTCTGGAAAATACCATTTGGGGAGGAAGGCAAGGTAAACTATTTATCCTAACTCAGAAGAGTAACTCCTAGGAAACTCTTCCGTCCAATGAGGTTAAGATAAAGTCGCTGTGTATTTTGTGAGCAATAGTCAGTTACTCTCTCTCTCTTTAAATTGTGATTAGGGTGAGAGTTTACAGAGCAAATTGGTTTTCCATTCACAATTCATACACATTTTGTTTTGTGACATTCATTGCAACCCCCACAATGTGACAGAACTCTTCCTACTTCCTCCTTGTGGTTACCATTTCATCTTTCTTTCCTATCCCTTCCTGCCTTCTGAGTTTTATCCCTGGGCAAATGTTGCCCTTTTGATCTCATATGGTTGATTATTCTAATGAGTCTATACCCTCTTGGTAATATTGTTCACCTTATAGACTTGTCTATCCTTTAGCTGAAAGTTGATCCAAGCAGGTGAGTTCAGTTCCTGGCTTGAGGGGTGTTCTAAAGACTATAGTCTTGCGAGTTCCACCAATCTCTATCGGACCAGTAAGCCTGGTCTTTTTTCTTTTCTCTTTTTAAATTAAATATCATCCCAAAGGAAGGTCAATGCTTCCTTCAGTGTCCTAAATATTATAGCTCTCAAATGTCTATAGTTGCTCACAAATATCCTCCAATGGTTTAGAGTGTTTTCACTATCAATGTAAATACCATACTTACATTTTTTTTTCTTCTGTTTCTTGCTTTATAGTCAAAACTGGGTTATTTGACGCTGATCTTGTGCACAGCCCACACGCTGGTGTATGGGGGAAAGAAATTCCTCAGCCCTACAATTCTCCGATGGTGTCTTCCTTCAGCCTATGTGTTAGCACTCATCATTCCTTGCACCGTGCTGGTGATCAAGTTTATCCTCATCATGCCGTGTATAGACAAGACTCTTACGCGGATCCGCCAGGGATGGGAAAGAAACTCAAAAACCTCATCAGCATTGAATGGAAAAGCAGATATTTAATGCCAATTTCAATTTACATGGACTTCTGAACTAATGCATTGAACGTTTAGAGAAGAATAGTGGGTAAAAGCTAAGAAAGCTTTCTCCTCCCCTATAGCCTGAGATCTGTGAACACAGAAGGAAACTGCCTTGATTTGAGAAATCTGCAGATAAGAAGAGAACCCCAGGTTTTATTTCAGGTTAGTAATCAATCAATCAATGCAGGTCCCTGCCTCTTCTCTGAGGCTGTAGAGCTGAGGTTTAGATTATCCTTGTAGTTTTATACTAAGGGATTCTCTGATGTGTGTAATGTGCATGACCTAAAAAAAAAACAAAAGAGTAAGATACTGGGTTTATTCTGTATGTCTGAAGAATACAGGCAAAAGCAATAAAAGGAATGATATTTGTTGGGTTTATTTTGAAGTAAAGATGGTCGTAAATATTCCCATAATAAAATCTGTAGTTAAATGTACTCTTTGATTTTACTTTTACCAATAAGGCTATGTACTCTGTGGAACTACTTTGTAACAAAAATATCACAATTGATTGAAATTAAGTGTGCCTTGGGTATATGCAGATCTATAATTGGCATAATTCCCTTCCTCTACAAAAAATGCACTGCTGTCAAGTGGGATCCAAATCATAGTGACCCCTCCTTGGGTTTCTGAGGCAGTATCACTACGGAAGTAGATTGCCCAACCTTCCTTCCGAGGAGTGGCTGGTGGGTTTGAACCTCCAG